AAAAGGACAAAAGTATTAATAATATTAGTTGTTTTAAAACAGACAAATACAAGCAAACTAATCACCAGAAAAAAGAAAGTGAAAAAGAAAAAAATAAAAATAATAAAAGAGAAAAAAAAAATCGGTGGAGGACAAGGTAGGGCACCCAGGCTCCATCTGAGCACACAGACTATGATGAAGTTCCTGTTGGCCCAGAAGGAAGGTGGGAGTGGAGGGTGGCTGCACCTCCGTTCACCAAGAGTAACAAGAAGAATGTCGTACCTTGTCAGTCTTGCAGGTCCCGAGTGTCCTTGGGGTTGCTGGAAAGCAGAACGTGTTTTTAAGCCCCAGGAATCTGCCAGAGCTCTGTCTCTTTAAATATCCAAAATAGTCAAGCCACTTTAACTTTCAAAATGGCGGCGCCCTCCTGCTCTGTATTGGAGAGTTTCCGGGCTGTTCATAAAGTTGCACACTAATGTATCAAACAGTGTTTCTCTGGTATTCATAAGGTTTTCCTTGGCCAATTTTTGAGAAGTGGATGGCCTCTTCCTTCTTACACCATGGGTCTGTCTCAGTTTGCAAGCTGCACTGAAACCTGTGCACCATGTGTACCCTGCTGGGTTTGAAACACCTCAAGCCTCACAGCAACATGCCACCACAGTAGGACAAACCAACAGGCAAGTTTGTCTCCCTTAGCTGCTCAAAACCTCTCCAACCTCCCCTTACCTGGATCCCTGCTGCTGCCTCCTCGCTCTGTCCTGGTCCCCTTGGCCTTTTTCTCTCCTTTCCCCCATTTTCCTACCTTGTCACTTGTGGGGTGTGACCTGGGTTCCCTCTCCTTACATGGATCCCTGCTGCTGCCTCAAGTGTGCTTTATAAATAGCCATTATGAAGGCAGAGCCAGTGAAGCCTGATGCCCAACTAGATGGGGAGTGGGGCCAGCTTGTGGTGCTCAAGGAGAAAGGAACCACAGGCCCAGAGCCTGAGTGACTCAGAGGTGAGAGACAGTGTGGGCTGAGCTGCAGGCTGGACAGTTGCGGAGAGGATGAATTCTGTGTGTGGCACAGGGTGCAAGGCGTGCAGGTGGGGCTGTCCAGCAGACAATGGATAGAGAGTTACACTCACAATGTTTTCATTATTTTCTGAGTTAATGTAGTTTTCCTCTAATACCGTGACATCTTGCACTGAATTCTGTGTAAAAAATAACTAGGCTCTTGAATCACAGTTTATTATTGTATTGTTAATGCCTTTGTTAATACAATCCAAGAACACTTAGCAACTGCCAGTTATCTATTTACTGTAATGGCCTCTTCAAGTTCTCAGCTAGGTCATACACAAGCATTTTAAAATGAGTAAAATTTCCTGTGGGTTTATGTTTATTACCTTTTTCTGAGAATTTAAATTGCTAGTCTATTCTATTCCTGAAAACCTTCTGGTGAATTCTTCTTTATCCTCTGTTTTGGTTGAGAACTCTTTTGGTTGCAAATGACTTAAACCTAACTCAGACTGGTTTAAACAAAGGTTGGCTTAGCAACTGAAAAGTAACTGAAAATCCAAGAATGGTTTTGACTTTAAAGATGCCAGAATCTAAGGACTCAAAAGGTGCCTCTTACTGTCTCAGCTCTGCTTTTCCTGGGTTAGCACCACTCTCTGGCATGACCTCCCCAAGAGGTGGCCTCCAACAGCCCTGGGCAAATATCCTACGGCTAGCAGTGCCAGCGGGGGGGGGGGGGGGGAATAAAAGCATCTCTTTCCCAGTAGTCCCAACCAAGTCCTGGGACTGAGTCTCATTGGTCTAACTTGGGTCACGCATTCATGTTCCCATCCCTGAAGCAATGACTATGGCCGGGGTCGTGGAATTCATAGATTGCTGAGGCCTGGGGATTGTGCCCACTGCTGATGGGTTGTGGAAAGGGGGGGTCCTCAGCCCCACCAGAACTAAGTGAAAAAAATTGAGGTTGAGGTGCTGTTTTCAGATACGGAGAGGATGGACGCCAAGCAGACAAATACAGATGTCACAGACACCCCCTCAGAAGGAGGAGGCGCAACTGTGAACAAAGTCAGGTTCTCTAGGAAAATCGTGACATGGGGAAAAAAAACATTCAGCCAATATTTAAATAAGTGAAGTCAGTCACCAAGAAGGCTCTTTATACACATCTTTGTACTGAATGTACAATTTTGTACTTATTGGCTTGGTTAAATGGCTCTCTTTTCTTCTTGTTGTATAACTTATTAACTTTCTAGATATACATTAAGAAAAAATCAAGGTAACTTAATATCTTAAACAGAGATACCTATAAAAAACGTTTAACAAAAAACAAAGACTTTCAAAGTGAGAGAAAAATTCTGAGTATGTTGTGAATCACTGTGTATGTAAGTGAAGGTACTGACACTTTTAAGTATTCTGTTAGGAAATTCCTTCCTTTTAAAGAACCTTCTCATGCTTCTATCAACAGTTCAACTGTGCAGAATGCCCCACAAGATTGGATTTGTAGTGGTCAGTTCATCTGGACACGAAGATGGCTTCAGTGCCCGGGAGCTGATGATCCATGCACCAACCGTCAGTGGATGGAGGTCTCCCAGGTACTGGGGGTGGACAGGGAGGCGGGCGGGAAGGTGTGGCCCAGAGCAGGGCAGATCCCTGATATGACTGTGGGCTTCCTTTCACTTTAAGTTATATTTTATTATAACTCAAACATCAGAACCACAGGAGAGGCAGATTGTGCTATAATATCACATATCCTCTATTTGTTCATGTTTTTAAGGAAAGTTTGGAATTTTGTCTATTTTCACCCCTTATAGCATTAACTCATGCACATTTAAGAAGAAGTGCACATGTAGAAGAATAAAGGGACGAAAAATGATCACCCATAATTGTTTAGCCAGCCCCATGATGGACATGCAAGTTACATCCCAATCTACTTTCTGCATGGTTTGTGTTTGTGTATTTCTCGATTTTACGCTTCTGCTCCTCTGGTAAAAGATTTTGTACTTTTTGTGATACCAAGCGTTAACGAACAAAATTTCTTTCAAGTTTTTCCTGAATGTTTGCACACCTTTATAAAAATGTTCATTATTTGAGTGTTAATTATTTGGGAGGGATGTCTTTTTTCACCTTTATTGTATTTTCCTGAGAGGTCTCCATTCTTAACCAAAGGCAGAGTAATAGTAGTTGCTGAGTAGTTTGTGTGTCCGCCCAAACTCTGTACACTGTCAGAACTTCCTCCTCCACGCTCAATGTGATCAGCAGCCTCGTTACTGTTCCTCACGACTTGTTTTCCAACTCTGAGTAGAAGTTACTATTTATTCCTAACTCATAAATATGTAAATATAGTGACATTTTTAATTGAATCATGAAGTTGTTCTTGCTTCAACTCAGGTGTGTTGCTGAGAAGTTGAGTATAAATTACATCTCAAATCAAAACGTATTTTCCTGTTGGAGGTTTTGAGGGATAAGACTCCCCTTTCTCTGCTCAAGTGTTGAATGAGTTGAGAAATGAGACAAGAGTAAAGCAGAGTATGAAGAATGTAGTCAGTGTCACTGAGTTATACATGTGGAAAGTGTTGAATTGGCAAATGGTTTATTGTATATATTTTCATCACAATAAATAAACACACACAAGTGAGCCTTAATAAGAGTGAGCTATGGTAATTGCCTCCATGGACAACTGCCCCTTTTGCCATGAGACCAGAACTGGAGGGTACTGGCTATAATTACTGAACATTTTGATCAAAGATTCTATAGAAGAATTCTGATAAGAAGGGAGAATATGCAGAACAGAATTTCAAATTCTCATGGACTCTAGACTTTCTGGAGCCAAGGGCGATAGATGAATCCCTGAATCCATTGCTGTGAGATAATCTTTAAACTTAAACCAAAATATCCCTTAAGTCTTCTTAAAACCAAGCAACGTTGTTGGTAGGTGTTGCCAACTTGATTCTGACTCACAACAACCCTATGTACAACAGAACAAAACACTACCTCATCCTAAAACATGCTCACAGTTGTTGCTATATTTGAACCCATTGTTGCAACCACTGTGTCAATTTATCTCATTGAAGATCTTCCTCTTTTTTGCTGATACTCTACTTTATTAAGCCTGAGGTCCTTCTCCAGAGACTAGAGAAGTCTCCTTAAAACCAAACAATAGGGGTTCCAGTAAGATGGCAGAATAGGCAGACAAATTACACAGACCCTCTTCAACAAAGAAATGAGAAACCAATGGACACAGATAGAGAAGACAATCCTAGAGCTCTGAGCTTTGTAAGGAAGGATACAGAAGTGGACTAAACTCCAACTAGTAGAAGAACCTGCATGAAGATAGAATAAGAAGACAAATGGAGCTGCGGATTGTCAGCAATCCTGACAGCACAGACAGTTTGGATATTTCCAAGTGGTGTTAGACCTAAGAATTAACCTAAAAATCGGCCCTGCTTGCCAAGAGCTGCAAGGAGGACTACACTGGTGGCCGATGACTGAAAAGGGAAACAGGAAAGAAGGAGACAAATTGAGATGTGGACTTTTGGTTGTCCAAAGGGTGCATTTTGAATGTTTACAAGTGGTTCGACCCTTTTGGCTATTTAAAGCAATAGTATTCTCTCAGATTCCAGGGACCCAAGAATAGGCTCTACTTGCCAAAGACCACATGGACATACCAAGGCTGAGGACTTCAAAGGTGTGAGATTCACCTTATTACTCATACCCCACACCCTCTTGGTGAACAGAGGTGCTGCCATCCCTCACTCCCACCCACCTTGTGGGCCAGCAGGAATCCTGTCCCAGTCTGTGTCCTCTGATGGAGCTTGGGTACCCTGCCACACCCTCCCCAGATTTGTTTATTGTTTCTTGTTTCATTCTTCTTCCTTTCCCAGTTTCTAGTTTTTGGCTTTTTCTCTCTTCCCTTTTCCTGGTTTCCATTTTTTTCTTTGTTGTGGTTCTCCCCCTTGCTTTTCTTTTTGCATTTTTCCCATTTTTTTTTTCTTCATTATTCTCTTATTCTACCTCTTCTCTTACTTCCCCCTCCCCAGATATTGTGGG